GGGCCGGGAGGCGGGAGCGGGAGAGAATCCACCGGGGAGGCATCCTGAATGGCTCATTAGTGCCGATGAAAGCCTTTTTTCATTTCGTCTAAATACTTTAAACAGGGCTCCCTCCGATGTCTATTTGCATAGCTTAAGAGCTAATGCGGGGGGAGGGCCCAGGCGGCGGCAGGGCCACGCCGGGCCGGGGGCTGCCGGGGAGCTCCGGGGCTCCTCCGCGGTGGGGATGGCGGTGGCGGGGAGGAGAGGGGTGTTTCCCGGCCCCAGCCCTCTTAAAGGAAGAAGCCCCGGGGCCTGCGTCCCTCCTGGAGGAGAGGAGAGAGGCCAGCCCCGGGAGGGCATTCCTGCCTTTTGGCAGCAGGCGGAGCAGACAGGTAGGGATCGTGGGGGACCTGTCCACCTCCTACACGCAGGCCTTAGAGGTAGCTGCCTTTTGCGGGACGGGGGCAGTAATATCCTCCCTTAACAGATGAGGATGCTGACATGCTTGGGGTCACACACACTGCTACGCACCGGGGAACACGATCCCTCAGACAGCAGAGGCCTCCAGGGCGGTCCTCTTCCCACCCCAGGCCTGCCTCAGTGTTGCTAGGCCCCCACCCTGTGGTCTCTCCCTCAGTGCTTCCCTCGAAACTACAATTTAGAGCAAGCAGCAAACGTCTCCTAAAACCCCTCCAAAGTGCCCATTTTACAGCTGAGGACACAAAAGCTCTGAGAGGCAACTTTCCTGGGCTCAAGTGAGTTTCAAATGGCAGCGCTGACATCTGAACGCAGGGATGTGGGACACAGTGCCCCTGCCCAGAGAAACCAGTGTTTTTTGTTTCTGCTTTGGGGTCCAGACTCGGATGTGCTTTGGGCACGGGCTGGGTGCTCTCTGGGTCCCAGCCAGAGGCTTCCTGAGAGTCCAGACCAGGTCAGGCTCGACTCAGCTTCCAGATGCTAGAAATTCTGGCCCCAGCTCTACTTCCAAATTGTGTGAGACCTTGGACAAGTCCATTCTCTCTCTGAGCCTTAGTCTCCTCAGGTGGCTAGGGGGTTCTCCGCTGGACAGCTCCGCTCTCTTTCTCCTTTGAGGCAGCCCAGTATCCTGGGAAGACTAAGGCTTTGAAGCCAGATCCGCAGAGGCTCAAACCCCAGCTCCACCACTGCTGTGACCGGGCGAGTCCTCACCCCACCTCTCCAGGCTTCAGGTTCTTTGTAATTCCCATCTCGTGGAGTTGCCATATCAATGAAATAATGCAAGATCTGAGAACAGCCTGACTGAGCATGTGGGTCCCTGACACCCCCTTTCACTATGCCCGGCATCACATGCTCCCTCTCTGTCAGTCTCTGCACCTTTGAACTCAGCCCTGGAGGAGAACCTGAGGAGCCTGGTGGCAGGGAGGGCAGGTCAGAGGGCCTCAGGCTTCCATCAGAGTCACCCAGGATATCTGGAGATGCCCTCTCCCCAGAAATGGCTTGTCTTCCCAAAATTATCTTACCCTCTCTGACAGTGGGTAGCACCCTCCGGGACCAAGTGGCAGCTGATTGCGGAATCAATTTGCTCGCTTGATACGCTATCTCGATCCCATTTAACCGAGTGCTCAGTCCCCCCAGATAACACAATCAGTGCAATCGACAGTGACGGGAGGTGCCCATTAGCTCCGCTCCATTGGCCAGCACCCACCTGGCAGCCAGCGGGAGGAGCTGTGCCCGCTGCGGTCCCTTCCTGAGACAGAGGATCTCTTTGCCCTCCCTCCCCCAGAGAAGAATCCCACAGGTACCTCCCCCGGGAGCCACAGGCGACATCTCTTATGGGGCAATCCTGGAAAGGGACACTTGGTCTTTAGTCTATGTGATGAGGAAGGCTCTTCTTCCTTGTGCTATGTTAAAATCAGTCTCTGTTCACCTGGAAAGACCGTGTGACATCTGGGAGGTGGGCAAAGAGAGGAGCCCTGTCCTGGAATGTCATAGGCACTGCCCAGACCCTCGTTGCTGACTCAAATGAAAGACACAGGGCACTGGCAGACCGTCTGCTCTGGGGGGTATGGGCCTGGCTGGGCATCTAGTTTGAGCATTGTGTTGTCGATGACTGACACAGAATGCCTAGGCACAGATGGGCTGCTTTGGTGGGCATCTCAGGAGATAAGGGTTGGTCCTGTTTTCTCGGGGCTTTGGGGCACCGGGACCCCTCTGACCCAGAGCAATGGAGAGCCAGCCCTCTGACCTGCACTCACCTCTCCCACCCCATCTCCTCCCTCCTCCCATTTGTCTGACACATCAGAGCTGCTATGGGCTCCTGAACAGAATGTAGGCCATCTGCCACTTCCTCATGCCTGCCAATCCATGGGGTGGGTGTGAGCCTGTGGAATGACAGCCCCACCATCAGACATTCAGAGGAACCAACCTTCTTCTTGCAAACTGTTAACACCCTGGCTGTGTTTCCCGTCAAGTGCTCATGCAGCCATTTTGAGAGCTGCTAGAATCAGAATATCCTCCCAGCCTTCTCAGAGCTGGCAACATTCTACATGAGCTGAATCTGGAGCCAGCATCCATTGACCTTTTCCTGGCAGTTAAGGATCTAGAGAGCCTAGTGGGCCACAAGCAGAATATGCATCATCTGTCCAGCTATGTGGTTGAAAAAGTCAAAATAATCAATAGCAGAGCAATCTGTACCTCAAACCAGCGGGAGCAACCAAGTTTCATCTTCCATAGCCTATGTAATTGACTAGTAGTGGCTGCCTGGATAACTGTGTTGAGAAGGATTCTGAAGTCCCATGTGGCTCAGCAAGAAATACCCAACATTGGTTAACAGTGTCTGCCATGGACTGGGGCTAACTGTTCTATCCCTGCTTTAGACCCTGCCCGAGATGGACCCTGGCTAGTACCACAAGAAAGATAATGGGGGCAAAAAAAGAAAGAAAGATAATGGGAATTCAGAGAGATGTCTCAAATAAGGAAAAAACGTAATATCAGTTATCCTCAATTAATCCTAAAAAAGAAACTCCATTTTACAGATGAGTAGACTAAGTTTCAGAGAGTTTAGGTTATTTGCTTGAGGTCACACAGCCCGGAAGTGGAATGGATTTGGGATTTGAAGCCACATATGCTTTACTCTAGAGCTTGGCTCTTCCCCCTCTATTCACATCACTGTTCTAAAAGGATTAAAAAAAAAAAAAAGATAAAAGAAATGATTTTCTGAGAAGTGAGAGAAATAGGACATAATGGAACCCTAACAGAAATGTCATGTTCCCATGAGGGAATCTAAAATAAAACCCCAGGGTGCCTGGGTGGCTCAGGCAGTTAAGCATCTGCCTTTGGCTCAGGTCATGATCCCACATCAGGACTCTCCCTCAGCCCCTAACCCCACTTATGCTCCCACTCTCTCTCAAATAAATAAATAAAATTAAGAAAAAAAAATGAAAAAATAAAACAAAACCCCCAATATATGAAGCATTTCCTGAGACTAATGACCAGCAGAATGACCTATAATCTCAGGCAGAAAAGTCACTGGGGGATGGCCTTCTTGCTAAGGGTTTTTTACCTCAGGTCTTCAACTCACTGATTAAAGCCACTTCCTTTCTTTGGCCTGTTTCCTCATCTATCAAATAAGGCCCTGATTGGGAATGGCAAATATTTATCTCTTATTTCGGTCTGAGGTATCAAACATGGCTGCCTGGAGTGTTGTGTTGTGAAGGATTCTGAGGTCGAATGTGAGAAGAGCAGGAAATCGTGGAAAGGTAAATTAGTAGTGTCCACCCCTGTTGTTGGAGGAGAGAGGATATCTCCTGTGACATCCTGGAAATAGGTGATATCATCTCATTTCCAGCTCTCGAATTCTACAGCTCCTGATTCTCAACAGTGAGCACGTTCCCCAAGCCTCTCTGTCAACAGAGAGGTGGATCTTCTCCTTACGATCTGGACGGGGTGTGATGCTGTTCACTGTGGGGCAGTGAGAGAACCTCTGATCATTCGTTATTATTTCAGGACTCTCCTCAGAGGCCCCACCCACGAGGGAAGGGCAGGCCCCGGGCATCGAGGAGACGGATGGGGAGCTGACAGTGGCCCCCACACCAGAGCAGCCAGAACGGGGCGTCCACTTCGTCACCACAGCCCCTACCCTGAAGCTGCTCAACCACCACCCACTACTCGAGGAATTCTTACAAGAAGGGCTGGAGGGCGGCGAGGAGGGGATGAGGCCAGCCCTGCCCTTCCAGCCTGACCCACCAACACCGTTCACCCCGAGTCCCCTTCCCCGCCTGGCCAACCAGGACAGCCGTCCTGTCTTCACCAGCCCCACTCCAGCCATGGCTGCAGCACCCACTCAGCCCCAGGCCAGAGAAAGACCTTGGAGCCTGGAGTCAGAGCCCCCTGTGCTTCGCATCACAGCCCCCCTACCTCCTGTGCCCAGCCCAGGCCCCGGGCAAAGGCCCAGTACCACACCCCCTAGCAGAGCATGGACTCCGACCCAAGAGGGTCCTGGAGATATGGGCAGGCCATGGGCTCCAGAGGTCAGGTCCCAGACCCCGGGGCTCGGGACGGAGGGAGCCGTCATGACCTCTACAGCATCAGGGGACGATGAGGAGACCACCATCACCACCGTCCAGCCACCAGGTCAGCTCCCTGCTGGCTTGCAGTTCTGGAAATGGGGGACGGGGGACGCGCGGGGCCCTATAGTCCTCTGCCCTGTCCCTGTGCCAGCCTGCCTTGCCCTTTGGCACCAAGGGCCAGCCTGCAGGAGGCAGGTGGGTGGGAGCTGGATGGCCTGGGTTCAAATCCCGATTGGAAGCAACGACAACAGACCCTAGGAGTTTCGCTGAACCTCTCTGAGCCTCATCTGTAAAATGGTGGTAAGACCCACCTCATTGAGCCATTGTGACAACTGAGATAAGAATGCACCTAGTAGGTGCTCAGGAAAAGGTGGTCCCCTTCTTTCAACAGGGAAATAGACACCCCAAGAGCTGGGCTTCACCACACACACACACACTGGTCAGCCTCAGTTGAACCAACATCACCAGAGCTGGGCTTAGCCTTGTATTTCCTCCTGCCTCCCAGGCCCTTGTAGCTGGAATTTCTCAGGCCCGGAGGGCTCTCTGGACTCCCCCACGGCCCCCAGCTCACCTACAGATGCCGGCCTCGACTGTTTCTACTACATTACCGTCTACCCTGGCTATGGTGTAGAAATCAAGGTAAGAGACCTGGTTCCCATGGGGACAAAGCTGGAGCTAGTGTGTTATTTTTCCAGAAAGTGCTGGCTACTGGGAGAGGTGGGGATGCTCAGGGGCATCAGTTGGCCCAGAGCCAGGGCTGGGCCTAACACTTGGCCAGCTTCTGCCCTACGCACCAGGGAGTGAAGAGCTACTGTTCCCAGGGGCTTGATCAGGAGCTCAGGAGAGCTTGAGGAGGGCCCTACTCTTGGGAGTGGGTGAGTGTCTGAATTTACGTGGCTGGGGAGCAAGAATGCAGGACTTCGTGGTTGGGCCTGAAAGAGCCAGGGGCCTCATTGACTGAATTATTCACTCACTCATTCCTTCAGCAAATACTCCCTGAGCAGCTCCTCTGGGCCAGGCCCTGCTGGCTCCTGCGCTGCAGAGTTGAGGAAGACAGACATGGTGCATCACCAGAGAGAGCCATCTGATGGGCGAGTCAGACCCCCAGCCCCAGCCTCCTGCCCCCTGCCTCCCTGGGCCATCTCATCCCTCCCTTGGGATTAAGACTCTCTCTTAATCCTCAACACTGAGCCCGCAGGTCCTCATGGATGTCCCACAGCCTCTTCCCCCTCCACGTGCCTCAAAGCCAATTCTTCCCTTTTGCTCCCCCAAACACACTTGCCACACCACTCCTGACCTCAGAGACGGACACCTTAACCCTTCAGAAACAGGGCGCAGGGCCACCACCGTGCTGTGCATGGTGACGCCAACTTGGCCCTTCTCTCTCTCTCTTCTCTGAGTCTTGCTTGCCCCCACTGTCCTCTGCCTCCACCTTAGTCCCTTTTTTTATTATTATTTTTATTTTATTTTATTTTATTTTATTTTATTTTATTTAAGTAAACTCTTACACCCAACGTGGGACTTGAACTCATGACCCGAGATCAAGAGCCGCATGTTCTACAGACTGAGCCAGCCAGGCGCCCCTCCACTGCAGTCATCTTTCCCATATGAAATCAGTCCTCCCCTCCATACCTCCCCAGAGGCCTCTGAACCAAGGCCAGTCCCTCTGGCCTGTGTCTAGCCACTCCCTCCCTCATAATCTGCCCCCCACCCCCCTACCTCCCACTTTGCATTGAGCAGCTTGCAGCTAACTGGATGGGCCAAGCCCACTTTCCCCACAAGCCCCAACTGTATGTGCTGGTCCCTCTGCCCAGAAGAGTCATCCCACTATCCCTTCTGTGACTTCTTTCCTGATGCCCCATCCTACGAGTTTGTTAATAGCCGGCCACATCCCCAGCTAGACTGTGAGCTCCTTGAGGGGTACCCTGGAGCACAGGGCCCAGAATGGGGTCTCCGTGGACTGGCTGAATGAATGCACAAATGGATGGAGGAAAGAAGGAAGGAGGTGACGGTAGCCTGAGTCTGGAGACAGAATGGAGGTAGGGGCAGACATTCAGCCTAGCTGAGGCCATCAGGCAGGTGACTGGTGAGCAGAGGGAAGGGGGCAGAGGAGGAGTCCGGGAAACAGGGCAGTGTTGGCTGCTCCCAGCTCTCGGCCCGTTCCCCACCCATCCCAAAGCCCCTGGTTCTGGGCCTGGAGCCAGCTACACCTGTCCCGGGGATGTCAAGGCCAGGTCTCTGAGCCAGGCCCAGAGGAGGGGGGGCCCTCTCCCACCACAGGGGGGCCCGTCCCCTTCCTTCTGTGACTGTTTGCTCCCGTTCTGCCAAGCCTTGGACCCTTGCTCTGGGCTGACGGGGAGGGTAATTAGGAGCAGCCACCCCCCCACCCCGAGCCATTAGCACTCAGTGCTGCTTAATTAAGGTAATTAATGTAAAAGCATCACCTAATGAGAGGTGGTACCGGCTGTGGCTTACTGGGTGGAAGGCGCCAGCTGCAGGTGTGGGGAAGGGGGAGGGAAGGGGCAGATGCCAGGCTGGGGGCCCCCCTGTAGGCCTGAGCTGGCTGCACCTGCCCCCCCCCATTCCCACCGAAGCCCACCGGGCCAGGCTGGGCCCAGTCCTGGTACTCGCCGCAGTGGGGCAAGATGCTGGCTCTGCCTGCTCCAGCCCTGGCCCCGGGCACCAGCCCCACCCTGGATGCCCACCCCCCTCTTACAAGCCCTGTGTCTGTTGTCTGGTGCTGCCACATTTTTTTTTTCATCAGAATGCAAAAGCTGTTACCAGGCAACCTTGAGATGAAGACCTGCCACAGCCCTGGACTGCTGTCTGGAAATGTGGCAGGCAGAAGCTAGCACCCCCCTCTACCCCGCCACCATGTCCTTGGGGACTCCCGTTGGCCCTGATGGCCTGAATTAGAGTCTGAGGCCACGGCAGGAAGGGCCGGGGGGCGGGCGGGGGGGACAGCATCAGCCAGGGCTGAAGCAAGGGTTATGGTTCATCTCCTTCTGGGGCCAGATCTGCAACCCCTGCCCCTACTGGGCCTCCTGGCCACACCACCCAGGTCACTTGGGGACCTGAATCACTGATGCTGCAGACCACTACCCACGGGGAGTTGGGAAAACTGAGGCCAGCAAAGAAAGGGAACTGCCCAAGGTCACTCAGTTAACCGTTAACTAGTGCTTTTTGATGAATGAATTTGCTCTGCAAATATAAATGGAGCAATTACCACATGGCAGGCTCTGTGCCAGGAGCTGGACACAGTTCCTGGGGGAGACGGAAGTCCTTAGCACTGACCAGAGAACGCTCAGCGCCGTTGGGATGGAGTGGGAATGCCAGGATGGGGCGCACTTCACCAGCCTGGAGGGTCAGAGGGGGCCTTCCGGAGGCCGTGATACCTGCTCTGGGGCCTAACAAAGGAGAGGTCAACCGACACGCCTGGACCGGGAAGCGGTGCCTAAGGCGGACTGGCCGTTGACGGTTACCAGGGCAGGATGGGACAGGTGACTTTTGTCGCCCAGGAGCGGGAGGTGAGCCTAGGGGCTTCCGGATTGCACTCCTGCCAGAGGCTGGGCCTGAAAGCAGCGCTTGTCTGCCCTGGGCAGTGGGGGATGGAATGGGTGAGGCCGCTGGAAGGCCGAGAAGGTGCCCGCCCTGGCTCTTTCAGACTTGGGGAAAGGCTTGTGGCTTCCCTCCATTGTGGGTGAGCCCCTGCCTCCCCTCTGCGAACTCACAGGGACGGTCCAGGGTAGGTGGAAGGGACGGAATCCGGGGTGAGGGGTGGTGGGAGAAACCATGGGAGGAGAGGAGCATGTGAAGAACCCACAAATCACCTCCCTGACACCATGCTGAGCCTCTGCCATGTGATGTGACCACAGCTCTGGCTAAGGTCTGGGGCCCCTTTTCATGAGGAACAGGTTCAGGGGTTCCAGAACCCCTAACTCCCCAGCTCTCCATGTCTTGGACTCCAGCCCCTCATAACCTGCTTCTTCTCCTGCCTCCTCCTCCCCCAGGCTGTTGCAGTGATTTGTGCGCTGAGGCCAAGGGTCCGAGCTGCCCACAGGGAGGAAGCCCGCTCAGGTCCTCTGTCATCAGAGGAGGTTTGCCTGTCTCAGCTGGGGTCAGGCACTGGGCTAGGCTCTCTTGAGAGGTCTAGAAAAGCCCCTTTAGGATGGGTGAGCACAAGCCCCCTGGCCCATGTGGGTCCCATCCCTGCTTCAGGCAGCCGGTCTCCCCTGAGGGCTCCAGGCCTTTCAAATGGGCCTGGCATGTGCCTTTCGTTGCACTTGGCATCCCAAGAGCCTTCCCACTGCCAGTCTCCATCTTGGCTTGGCTGCTCCCTGTACCATCTGGAGCTTAGGCACAGCTGCCCATAGTCCCTACCCTAGTGCCCCAGGTGTCCCCATTGGAACACAGCTCTCCCACGCCAGAGGCCGACTGCCAGGTTGATAGCCAGAACACCAGGACCAGGTCTGATGGGGACACCAATAGGGTGGTGGGTCAACGGGGTGAGATTTCTGGGCAACCTCCTCTTTTCTGGCTCCTGGAAGGCTCATCTGAGAGGAATTACAGAGGTGCAGGCAGGTCTGGCCCCACGCATTTAGACCCCTCTCCCTATCCGTAAAGTAGACTCTTTCCCATAAGGGCTTGTGGACAGGCACAGAGGCTGTCCTATGGGACTGGGCTTCCAGCCCTGCCTCTGCAGCCCGTCTCTTGGTGACTGGCAAAGTCCCTGGCCTTCTCTGGAACTGTTTCCTTCTCTGTCAAAGGAGATGAACCAGATGATGCAGAAGGGCGCTTCTAGCCAGTCCTTCTGAGCGTGTCTCCTCTCCTGGGTTCAGGAAGCTCCCTCATAGGCCAGACTGGGCCGTGGCCGCTCAAGCTCTTGACCCTGCTTTCTGCTCCTAGCAGCTATAGAACCTGGCCCAGAGAGAGGGTGGCTCCCAGGGACAGTGCCTCCTAGGCAGAGCCCTGAAAGAGCTGAGGCTAAGGTGGGTCGACAGCCAGCTATCACCATGGCAAAAGCATTAGTCTTACCAAGGTAGAGCCCAGGTCTCCCCAAGAAAGGGGAAGAGGACTGCTCAGCTGTGCTGAGCCCCTTACAGGTGGGATCTAACTTAACCTTACAACCCTAACCAGTGGGTATGACCATCCCATTCCACACACGAAAACTGGGGTTCAGAAGGTCATGTGACTTTCCCAAGGCCCTTTCAACTAGTCAGTGATGGAGCTGGAAGTTGATGCCAGGACTCAAGAGCCCCTCTTCTTCCCCTGGCCCAGGAGATTGGCCCAGGTGTGGCGAATCCGAAGAGGCAGTGCATTTGGGGACTGTTGGGGGCTCTACCCCAATCCCTTTCCTCAGCTCAGCCCTGCCTGCTCCTGTAAGATGCCCACCTGGAATTCCTCCAGTCTGGGGGCAGGGCCTGGGACGCTATGCATGAAGATAAAGCACTAGGCCAGGAATTGGGGGTCCTGGTCCAGAATCCTGGCTTTGCTTTGGATGCACTATGTGACACAGAGAGGAACTCTGCTTCTGATGGCAAGGTTCCCTTATCTATAGAGCCGAAGTAAATACAATCTGCTTTGCCTCCCTTACTGAGGTTCTGTGAGATCTGAAAGGATAACGGGTGTGAAAGAGCTTT